TGAATGACGTAATATTGTCAATATTTTATTTTATTTTTTAAATCGCCTTAATCATGAAAAGGTTAACATTTTCTCGAATTCCTATTTGGGCAATTAATGTCTCTCTTCATTTCATTTATTTAATTCATTTAGCCTCTTGTTTTTATTTCCTCATCCTTCATCTCAAGACGGCGGAAAAACATTGCGACTAAAAACGATTTATGGATGTACAACGGAACCCCTAAATTTTTTCATTAATTTATAATGTACACCATTTCCTCTGTGAATAAATCATCGACGTTTAATAATGCAGCAACTTCCCAACCAGAACCGAAAAAATAAAAGACTTTATCGTTGCTTACTTATCCCGGGAATTTCCCGCTTAAATTTGTATCTCCATTTCTGTCTGAATTTCTGGTATGATGAGTAATCATTATTTAAAGTATTTACATTTGGACTATAGTTCTCGTCTTTATTATTGCTATCACAACGTTTCGGCCTTTGTGCCATCCAACCTTCATCAGATGTAAATCGATCTACAAGGAGTTCGGAATTAAACCCATTATCTTTTGTTTCACTGGCTATGTCCAATTCATATTTTAGTTCTGATCAGTTATTGTTCACCCGTTTCTACTAAGTCCAAGTGCACACTACCCGGTCCAAGGATTGAACTTACACTTCTTATATCACCAACTTCAAGAACCACGGCTTATATTCACTAGACAATTCTCCAGTAGATCAATTATTTGTAATTAACTTAAACCTAACTGCTGATTAGTGCTACTACTGCCTGTCATGTTTGATTGCTACTGCAACTGTTGAGGATTTGCTGTCACTTCTCTTGGTTTATATTGTTTTTATTTCTATATTAGTCCTACTAAGTAGTTCAGCATATGCGTTGATTTTTTTTCAGAGGTATGGAAGTGTTCATTTCAGAATTCCCTATAGGTTACTTAGATCGATATACACCTGATGAAGACCGGAGGACACAATGACCGAAACGTTGAGAAAACAACATCAAAGATGAGCACAATAGACCGTATATTAATAGTATAAATGTATTTCCATATAAGGAAGTAACACGCTGTCTTATTCAACCCTTCCCAACAAACAAATTTAACCTAAATGATCTGAGATAAATGTTTTAGTGAAATAATCTATTATTTAGTATGACGTTTAGAAATAAATTTTGAACTAAGAGTGACAATTAAACGATCCGTCCTGCCATATCACTCCTTCTGAATGACATTGAAGTTTGAACAATTTCCTTACAAGTGAACATGTGAATCGGTAAATAATGTAAATAATTATAACACCTTATCACAGAAATTCAGATAGAAATAACTTTTTTACTCACGAGAAATTCTCTGCTCGATGTTCTTCCATGTGTTCTGCATATTTTATTGTTTTTGAAAGAAAGCAACCAAGAAGTGAAAATGATTTTGTCGAAATTATGATATAAAACTTAAAGAAGAACAAAAAACAAAAAAAACAAAAAAATAAACATGAAGACAGCTAAAAACATAACCTCCCGAGATGCAAATCAGAAAAATATGGATTTCTCAAAACAGAAATCTCGCTCACACATTCACTAATGAAGTTATTATCGCAAGAAAACGTGATCTGAGACTGATGCAAACGCGTTTTTTTTTTTTAATCTTTCTTTGTTCGATCAAAATAAATGGCTTCTTGCATTGTTCACTGATAACTTATCAAAACATCGCTGGACGTGCGATAGATACTCAGCACTTTTTGACATTTAATTATCAGAATATTTTCTACAATTCGTTTTTGTTTTTGTTTTGTTTTTGTTTTTTAGCGCATGCAGTATCACTTAGACGTCAATAAAATCAAGAACCTATAGACTGCGTTAGCTGACATTAGAATGATAACAGATTTGGAGAATATTTTCCATATTTTTCATAATAACACTATTCTTCAGTGTCTCATGATCATTGCTTTGTCCAGTATTTAAGTATATTACGGTTTCATTTTGAAATGCAATTGTAAGAGCAGAAAGTTGCTGTGCTTCGATTAATTTAGTGCAAGGTATCATGGAAGAGAAGAATAGGGAGAACTGTTTTGAACGCATGTTACCCTGTATTCTAGATCTCGGCTTTCACCTAGATTCGAACAATATATATATATATATATAACATATATATATGAATATATATATATATATTTCTTTCGTTTTAAATATTTTGTTACCCTTGTTTGATAGTTTCTAGAAATCCCGGTTCGAAAGTTAAAAAAGGAAAAAAATGAAAAGTGGAAAATTGAATGTCTTTCTAGATAGGGTGTCTTAGTATTCTAACGATGTCGATGGTATCCCGAGTTGAGGGCATCACTCCTCCCTTCGTTGTGAAGCCTCCTTCGTTGGTTCCCACGCCTCTCAGGTCCGTTGGACATATTTGAACGTCCCCCCGTCGCTCAGAAAGTGAACGACGTTTGGACATGAGGAAAGCCGTATATTCAGTCACAGAAGTTGAACCAAACCGACAGAAAGTGAAAAACAGACAACCACCTTCAAGACGATAAAACAGACAACCACTTGCTTGCTGGCCTATGTGAGTATAGAATTCGCTCTAGCAAAAAACCCATTTACATTTTTTCATTTTTTTTTTTTATTTTTTTTTGTTTTTGTTTTTTTTTGTTCTTTTCGTTTTTAAATTTTTCTATTCCCCCCCCACTTAAAGGCATTTTGTCCCAATGATTCTCCTTATTTGATAGTTTAGTAAGAAATCCCGGTTCGAAAGTTAAAAAAAGAAAAAAAAAGGGAAAACGGGAAAAATGGAAAATTGAATGTCTTTGACTAGATGCGATAATAAATCCGGGTAACCTTTTTTTTTTAATGCGAACTTAATTTTCTTTTTGGATGCCACTTGACTGTTCATGTCATTTAAAATCAAACTTAGATATTAACAAAGTGTCAGGTTTATAGTATTCTTTGGGCCTAACCCAATAAGCTAACATAAGAATATAAACTATCAAGATGAAAGCAGACGATAAGAAATTAAGACAGTGCTATACGCTAGCTTCTTACGGGGTTCTCGTCATTATTTATGATAGGCATAAGATTATTTCTACCAGTAAAATTTTCCACGCTCCATATCTATATCGGCGAGCAATAGCCGACTAGGCTAAAGCACGATAAGTTGGCAGGGGAGAAAGTGGGAGGTGAAGTAAAGTGGCCATTGAACGCGTGAACCCCTGGTGAGTGGGTCAGGGTTACTTTTACGTTATGGCCGATGGAAAAAGGCCCTTTAACAGGCAAGGCAACCAAAAGACAACAGTTTAATTATAACAGATGCAGAAATTCGAACGCAGCTATAATAACGACCCAATTTATTTTTCTAAGTATACATACACATACAAATATATACAGAAGCATCCACAAACATATATATACTTATATTTATACATATACACATATGTACCCATACCGCCCAAACACATATATATATGGATACACACGCATACGCAAATATATAAATATACACATAAACACAAGACAAAACCTAAACACGAACCAATATAGAAACAAATACGTACACAGCCGTTTAAAATGTTGGCCATGTATGCAGAAATTCATGCGTAAACATGTACACACATACACATACGTAAATATGTAGGTACAAATACATACAAAAATACAAATATGTGCATACATAAGCACACACACACACACATATATATATATATATGTATATATATATATGCTCCGTACAGAAGTGGTTTTTGGCTCTTATTTTTCAAACATGAGAACTCTTATGAGAATTCATATTTTTTTATATATATATATATATATATATATATATATATATATATATATATATATATATATATATATATATATATATATATATATATATATATATATATATATATATATATATATATATATATATATATATATATATATATATATATATATATATATATATATATATATATATAAAGGCACACCTCGAGGCGGTGTAATGGTTGCAAGCTTGTCTCGCTAAAACAATTACGACTGAATAGTGGGTTCGATTCTCACTGGGTGCCCCATACTTTCGTCTTTATGCCACATGTAAGCCGGGCTTAGAAAATCACTATATATATATATATATATATATATATATATAAAGCAATTCATCTCAATCAAGGTGGGTGTGCCTCTGGTATGCAAGGGTCTACAATGAGTTTAATTAAGCGAAAAGACTGGCTATAAGGTGAGAGTTGAGGAAAGGATAAAAAGAAGAACAGAAGAGAATAAAAAGTGAATGGGGGCCAAGGAAACAGAAGATGCCGATTGACATTACATTTAAATTTTGAAAGAATATACTTATCAGGGAAGCAAGTAAGAGGAAGGGAGTTCCACAAACGGGAAGTGCGAAAGAACAACCTGTTGGAGTAGAAGAGGCGGTTACATTTAACTGTTTCGATAGTAAAAGGGTGGGTCCGTGATGCCAACTTAGTAGCACGCTTAAATTACATAAATTTGAGGCACCAGTGAAAATAGTTCAGTCGTGCAATTTCAAGGAAAATATTTATAGAAAAGACAGAGGGAAGCCTCATTACGTCGGTGAGAAGTAACTAAAGTTGAGACCCTAAGTCAGGGCCGATCACATTGCATATCCGTCTTTAATTCATTGGTTATACCGTAAAAGTAACACTGACCAACCCTCAACGGGTTCACGCGTTCGAGACGAAGTCCAACGGCCGCCCTACTCCCTCTCTACTCTTTCCCCTGCCAACTTATCATGCTTTAGCCCGGTGAGTTAATGGTCACTACCCACCGAAAAGTGGACTAGTTTATGGGCAGAGATAAATCTTATGCTTACAATAAATAATGAGGAGATCCCCGTAAGAGGCTAACACCCTCTTAATTAATTAATCATTTGCTTCCATCTAAATAGCTTATATTCTTATCTTAGCTGAGTTAGGACCAAAGAATACTCTAATCTATACA